TTTTTTCAATAGCATTCGTTCTTTCCATTTATCAGTATTTTACTATTTAACCCACCTTCAACTTTTTTAACTAACCCACCTACATATTGGGGTAAAGTTGAGACCTCATTGAAGTTTTGGCTGCAATTAAGGAATATGACGTGCGGAGCATAATATCATTACCCGTACGGGCCCCATTAATTCCTTTTGTGGCTTTAGTCCGATATTTTATCCAACAAACATTGTTTTCCTTATTACTTACCCCCCTCCGAACGAAAGCCTTTGGTTCAATAATGATTATCGAAAGATACTTATATAGTTATATATATTGATATACATATACATATCAACATGGTAATTGGTTATGAAAAGTACAAAGGGCCTGACCCAGTGGGCTATAATATATAAACGTACATATACATTAACATCCCCACAGTCGAGAAATCGTAAGGCCTCGGATTAAATGTTGAGACTGGATAACAATAACACAGAGATTTCTGAAATGATATTCTAAGGTTTATTATTTTCAATTTAGTTTTTAAGGACTAGAAGCCACAATACTAGGATATTTCATATGGCAGAGTGTTACGAGAAGAATGCCACATACGCAGTTTTTCACGACCAAAAAATTTATCAATTGGCTAGCTTGACCGTAATCTTATGATATTAACCATACGCAATTTTATAAGTTCGCTAATATTGTCAAAACGTCTTTTTTGTTAAGTAATTTATAAAACCTTTTGTCATTAAATAGTTTTATGTATTATTTCTACGTCATAATAGAAATTAGTTAAGATTTTAGTAATTAAAATTTTAATCTCTCCTGTATTAAAAATGAGTTCAAAGTAATTTGTTTGAATATTCTAATAGTTTGAGCTGTAAAGAAATTGTAAGTTTGTAACCTGGCCATGTTTGTCCTTAGACTCGTAAATAAACAAATAAATAAAATCCAGTTAAGAAATCCCATTAATGTTGATTTTGTTGAAGACAAGTAATCTAATATAATAATACTCTTTGCTCTTAATATATATAAAAAAATAAAGTTATGTCAAATTAAACTATTATATTTAATTTAAACAAAGGACAAAAATAGTCTTGTGGTTTAAAAAAGAGACAATAGATGGTCCCAATGAGAAGTTTGTTACACCGGTGGTCCCTAAAATTAGAAAATCTTGCACCCTAAGTATTTATGGTTAACTATGTTAAAAAGTAAGGGTTAAGTCCATATGAAATTATCAATATACAATTTCTAAACTTCAACTTTTAAAAAAAAATGAATTGTACAGCGTTTGTAGCGGTTTTTTTAAGTTTTCAAGGTTATAGGTGAGAGAACTCACCTATAACAATAGGCTAAGCTGTCCATTTATGATTGTGCCGCACAGCCTACTCCTGGCCACTAGAGCAATGGCAACGTCCTGATTCCAACTTGGGCAGATGGGATACATATATGAGATTTGTCGCAAAATAATTTACACGATTTCATAACAAGAACTTGCAACACACTTTCAGGAATTACTCACATAAGCAGACGAAACTACATAAAGGCAACATGGAAACTACATAAGGAGAAGAAACTTATAGAGGAATTGGTGTGCAAAGAAGGGTTGTTTTACTACTATTATGGAAAGGCAGGAAGGCTTATTTCATTATTATTATGGTGATGATGTTGGTATGACTGTTATGTCTATCGTGTGTGTATGTGAGAGAGAGAGAGAGAGAGAGAGATTTGTCTTTTCTTTTTTAATTATATATCATTTTAAAAAGTCAAAAAGTTAAGAAAATATACATAAGTAATCTTTCATGAACTTAACCCTTACTTTTTTTAATGAAGTATAAAGCTTTCCGGTGCAAAATTTTAAAATCTCGGAGACCATCAACTAAACAAAATTTCCACATATTGTGGTCTCTTTTATGAATTATATGGACCATTTGTAAATATGATAGTCATCTAGTTTTCTAATTTCTTTAAAGGGACCGATGCTGTTGGAAGGGAGAGCATCGAAGGTTGCGGGTTTTGCTGGGAAATTGACGGGAATAAGGAACAATGAACAACGGGAAGAAGGGGCTAGGTTTAGGGTGGGCCAACACATTTTTTTCTAATTTAATTAGTTAAAAGAATATGAAAGTAATATAAAATAAATAGATAGATAAAAGTGAGATTCCAAAATTAGTTAAGAGAGAATAGAAAACCATGACCAAACACGCAAAAAAGTTGAAACTATAGGGGCAATGCATAAACATTTTGATATTTGTCGCTCACTCGCTCTATGTAAGGTGTTGTTTGTTTTTCTGAAGTCAAAATGTTTGCAGTCTGCGGACCACATCTGCAAGTCTCTGCAACAGAAGATGTGGACCAAACGCCTGCAATCTGTAATAAGAAGTCTGTTTGTTTTTTTACGTCTGCAGGCTACTGAAAAATAAACTGAAGTTTAATTAAACTAATTTTACAATATTTTATTTGAGTTTTACAACATCTAATAATTATTTCATCATAATAGATAAGAAAATGCTACAACAAACAAATCATATATAAACAATATTTATAATATATAATAGTAAAAAACTACAACAAACAAAATGATATAATATCAATATTTTTACAATGAAAGAACTTTAAAAATCCATCCTCTTGATCTTCTTCTCTGAGATGCAACTACAACATTTAGCACAATATGGTCATTTGATCGTCATTAACAAAGTCTAGTTTCTTGCTTAAGCATCGAGCAATCTTGATAATCAATCTATGTGTTTTGAACTCATTTGTTATCATTGTCATTGACATGTAACATAACACAAACACCATGACTTGATTCAAAAGAAGGCTCTTATCTTGCTTTCACAAAGAACTTGAGTTGAAATATATAATCTACTAATAATTTCAGAAGTGGTATTCCGTTCTTTATACACTTATATATACATTGCTTGAGTTTTTGCAAACACCAGGATGTGTTAAAGATGCATCAGCCCCTCTTCTTGATCCAATAAAACTTTTGATTTCTTTGAGGACTTTTATCGAACACTTGGTGTGCAATATGAAATCATCACCTCTATATGAACCTGATTATTAGAAGGATTTCATATACCCAAACCAAGCAATTCAGATGAGCAAAAAACAAAATTAGAAGTATTCCACATGCCCAAAATCACATCATTATTATTCAATCAGATTAGATGTTGAAAGAAATTGACATCTGATTTTAGGGAAGAACAGATTTTCGTACCTGTGGATGAAGCCGGCAGTGGACGAAGGAGGAGGCAAGCATCGTCGGTATTCTGTTGTGTATGGTGGTCGGTCGGAAGGGGGAGAATGATCGGTGGAGGAACGATGGATGGTGAGGAGATATGGAGGCGCTATGAGAAAAGAACGTATTCAGTTTTTTTTTCTTTTTTTCTTTTTTTGAGTTGTGAAGATGTTAGAAGATATTGGGCTATATCTGTGCCAAGAAGACTTTCATGCAGACCTTTTTAGTATGTGCACTTCCAAAAAACAAACAGTTTGTAAGGGTATATGTCTGCGCGTGGTCTGCGAGATGCATACAGAAGTGATCATGCAGATCTGCAGACAAAAAACAAACAGCCCCTAAGTTTTGACAAACCAAAACCAAAGAGACGAATTGTAATTTTATCATTAGTTTATAAATGGATTTATAAACCAAAATAATATATTTCTTTGTTTTTTTTATTAATGATACAAAAGGAATAATCAACAATGTAAAGCATTTTATGGTTAAAGTTATACTTCTAGGGGTTCTACCCAGATTATGACAGTCTCACAGTCTCTTTCTTGAATATTAAAAATAAAATAATACGTTTTTCCTTTATTTTTTATGGAAAAGAAAATAAAAGTAGAAAAAGGAGAGTGTTTGGTCAGCATACGTTAAATGAAATGGCGACAAACAGCCAAACATGAGCCAATGCGTTTCCAGCAAAGAAATAGAGGAAATTACAAAACTGGCCCTGTATTATTGATCATACAAATATTTTGTATCCATATTCCATAGCAGTTAGAGTCTTAGAGATTATTTATTAAGTAACTAATAAAAGTTAGGAAAACCATCAAAATTAGATACTTTTCTACCAATGGGTATATGAATATATCCAAAGATCCGTATGACCTATATGTGTAAACTGAAGTAAAATAGGAAATTTCTGCATGTTGGAGATACATAAGGGACTAATTTTGTAAATCAGTCAAGAATCTTTCATCTATTTCATTATCATCATCTTCGCTCCATCCACTAACGCTTGCAAAAAGCACATCTCTTCCCCAGTATTGGTTGATATATATAAATATCACACAGTTCCCCAAAAAAAACCCATTTCTTTGCGCTGCGTCTATCCTTCTCAGACATTCCCTACAATTTGACCTCTGAAAACAGAAGGATTTTGACTTCGATCGACAAATCCAACTCAAATTTCAACAAAACTATCTGAATTTATCAAAGGTATGTTACCAATCTAATCTTTCTTTCAAAAGATATAACATCCAGCAGTTTATGTTCGTAGTGTTTTTCTCGAGATTGATGATACGACCAAACCCAACTTTTTTTTAAAAATATAAAGCAAATTTGATTATGATGGGATTTCAAAATAGTAGATCTTTTCTGCTATTGATGTTCATGTTGTTCTTAAAATTGACGATTCCAACATAACCCCAGTCATTTCTAAAGCTAAAAGCAACTTCGATATGATGGGGTTTCGAAATAGTAGGTTCTTTTCAGTTTTCAACAATTAATGTTCATATTTTTCTAGAAACTGATGATTTCAACAAGCCCAACTTTTCTTTGAAACAAACGCAACTTTGATTACGACGGGGTTTCAAAATCTCAGATCTTTTCAGCAATTTTCTATCAGATCGGATTGGTAAAGTTGAAAGCCTTTAGGATTTTCTTTTACAGGTGTTGGTTCAGATTGAATTGAATTGAAAAGGGTATAAAGGTTTCACATCTGATTGGTTGTTGACAATAATAGGAAGGTAGAGGAAAAGATCGAGATCAGATCCATAGGGGAAAAGGGCAATTATGTCTTTTACCGGAACACAGCAAAAATGCAAGGCTTGTGGGAAGACTGTTTACCCAGTGGAGCTTTTGTCGGCTGATGGTATTGATTATCACAAATCTTGCTTCAAGTGTAGCCATTGCAAAGGTACCCTTAAGGTATGATGACGATGAATAATTTTCTTTTAATGTTTATTTCATATGATCAATTTTTAATTGTACGATAATTAGTTCTGGAATTGATGTAAATTATTCAGGGAACATTATTCTAATTAACATTCCTTGTAATATGCTTGTCCATTATGAATTAAGATAATGAAATGGGCACAACTATATAGTTTATTGATAATCAAGACTGGTTGACTTTCAGAACAGTTATAGTTGACTTTTCTTTGCAAACTATTTATCATTCTTATAAAATGCAGCAACAATTGATGAAGTTTATACGAAATTGTGGAAATAAAAAGATAAATCAAGAATGCAAATCTAACCTGTTTTAAAATCTGTTTATCATTCTTTGTGTATTAGTGTTAGACTAAAGGTATAATGGCATAGTAAGTAATTATAGTTACATTTCAGTTGAGCAATTACTCATCAATGGAAGGTGTGCTCTACTGCAAGCCTCACTTTGAGCAACTCTTCAAGGAGAGTGGAAATTTCAACAAAAACTTCCAATCACGTATGCTTTTTTCATCCTCATTTGCTTTTTGTAGTTTCTTTTGATCGTTTTTAGTTTGAATCTTTGACGGGTTGTCGGGTTTTTTTTTTAAAGCTGCAAAGACTGCTGAGAAGTTATCTCCAATGCTGGTAAAATTTCGGTCTTTTTTACATAAATATATGCCATGATTTTTTTTTCTCATTAAATGATGTTCAAAGGTTAAATGGTGAAAAAGGAACAACACCTAATTATGATTATATGTGTAGACAAAGTCACCAAGCAAAGCTGCTGGCATGTTTTCGGGGACTCAAGAGAAATGTGCTACTTGTGGCAAAACTGCTTATCCTCTCGAGAAGGTATGTTATAAGGGTTTTTCATTTCATGCTTAAAAATCACAATGTCACTTAGTTAGATGATTTGGTATTTGTTATTTAATTCAGGTAACAGTGGAGAATGAATCATACCACAAGTCTTGTTTCAAATGCTCCCATGGAGGCTGTTCTTTATCTCCATCAAACTATGCAGCATTGGAGGGGATTTTGTATTGCAAGCATCATTTCTCACAGCTCTTCAAGGAGAAGGGGAGCTACAATCATCTCATCAAGTCTGCATCCATTAAGCGAGCATCAGCAGCATCAGCAGCAGCAGCAACAGCAGCTGCAGCTTCTATCCCAGAAGTTTGAAGTTTGAAACACCTACAAATTCATCATCTTCATCTTCTTACCATTTTCCAACAAAGTTTTCGGCTTGTTTTTTGCTTGTGTTTGTCTTTTATTGAGTAAGCTTTCCTTTCGACTTATTGACTTCCTTTTGTTTGATTGGCTGGTTCCATGGGTGCCCATATTTATCTAAACTTACTACTTCCTCTGTACTTGAAATTTAGTTGTGACTTATTTCTCATACGCTCAAAACTCTCCTTTTTCTTGCGTGTTTCTTATGGTTTCAAAGATATAATCATGGAAAAGGGGTATCCAACACACCCTTATCTTGGGATTTTGAAAAGTTTTTAAACAGATAAATCACTACAAACTTGATATAATGTAATTTTGTGGGATTAATTAATTCTACAACCTTTTTCCATAAAGAATGTAACAAAAACTAACAAAAGAAGAATTTTCTCTAATAGTGGAAAGTCTAGAGATGTGTTAGCCTAAGGGCTTCCTTGCCAAAATTGTTCCTATCAATGCCGTGCCCTTGAATGCAGAAGCAAAAAACGAGTCAACTCAGCTTAAGTTAAAAGTTAAAAACAGTAACATTTTCTCAATTGGAGCTACGTTTCTTAACTTCTCCATAGAGAATAACACCAAGAACTGTGAGTGTGTAGCCAGCCATCCCAGTTACAGAAACCGGATTCCTAAAAATTAATATTGAGACAACTACTGCTACTGCTCCCTTTGCATTTCCAAGGACCTGAACCAATCAAACCAATTAAAAAGATGAAAACTTTTTATAAACTTTTGTAAGTGTCAACGACTCGATGATCCTAACCTGAAGTGTAAGGGCGCTTGTATGTTTTGTGACCAAAAAATTGGTTAAATTCACAAAGTAAGCAAGTGAAGAGTTGAAAATCAAGAGCCAAATGATCCCAAAATCTTGTCTAGCGAGGGCTATTGTTATGCCAATCACATTCTCTTCCATGTACATTGTTGCTGGAAGCAGGAGTATGATAGCAATAGGAGCCATGTACAGAAGGAGATTCATGGAGTTTAGCTTCTCACTTAAGCAAAATAACACGTATTTACTCGTCAGATATAACAGCCTTGATACAGATCAATGGACCTTGATAGATTATTGTAATGAAGAAATGTTTACCCTTCAGAAGTAAGCAATATCCCTTGTACCACGGTTTTGAGTGCTCTGGCAGCTGTTGCACCAACACACATTATGAATCCAAACAGATTGAAACTTGGCTCGCCCTAAAGAAGTGAAATTAGCAAAAGAAAATACTCAAAATCGGAGCTGATTTCACTAATTTCAGCAGATTCTTATCGAATTGAAAAGAATAGAGATGAAAACATACCCCACTGGCGATAATAACGCCGGTGACTACAGGAATGAGGGTGATATACGTGAGCCAAGCTTCACTCTTCAAAGTTATGAGGTACGCAAACACCGCCGTGAAAAATGGCGTCGTAGCGCCAATTGCTTGATTAAACGATACAGGCAAATACCTAAGCGAGATATTACCACTGACAACCGACGCACAGAAGATTAGACTCAAGGCAGAGATTTTAACGAATTGAACACGAGATCGGATGGTCTGCAAAGGGACTATTTTCATCCATGCAATGGCGATGTAGCTGAGCAAAGCGCAGGAGGACATGTGACACATTGTAAGAAATATTGGGTACTTGAATCCGTAATTGCTTAGCAAGTATTTGTTGAGTAACAACACACCAATGTTCGATGAGTACCATGCTGATACGAGCCCTAACGTAAACAATTTGCTCGATGGGGGGCTCTTTATTGCGGACATTTGAGAATTGGAAACAGCAAAAAGGAGAGTATAATCGGTTGCTGTGTTCCTCTTTGTGTAATTACTAATTAGTGCACAGAGCGCGATGAAACTGGAGGAGAAAACATCAGGGGACCAAGAGAGAGAAAAGAAGATGAAATGAAATGAAAAATAAGGAAGTGAAAACGTGAAAAGGATAGAGTAGGAGAGGGTGGTGGGTCGCGTTTTGAGAACTGACGACGATTATGCTCCGATTGAGAGAGAGAAATATTAACTTACAACTATTATTTTCTATTAATTGTATAATATAATAATATTTATTCGTCCATAATATTTATTTGTTTTAACACCTACACTGTTATACATAGGGATGTAAATAACCAAGTGTTCGACAAACTGTTCTCTTCGTGAAACATTTAATAAAATATTTGGTTATTTTAATTTGGAATCAGTATTTTGGGTAAAATGATGGAATAGAACGGGATAGTACTCAATCCCAATTTCAGTTGAAAGTGGGAACTCAACACCTTCTAGAATGGGATAATGATTTAAAAAGGTAATAAAGTTTTAAAAATATACAAAAAATATCATTATTTTATTTTTAGTATTCAAAATATCATTAAAGTATATTTTTTATATACAAAATACCAATGAAGTACACATGTGTTCAAATAATACCTTGTGGGTAACCTACAATAGTCGGTAAAATGGTATTTTGTGTACAAAAAAAAAACAATGGTTTTTTTTGTACATTTTTAGAACTTCGTTACCTTTTTAAGTCATTTTTCCTTCTTTGAATGTAATGAAAATTTAGCTACTTTTTATAAAGAACCCTCCACTTCACTTCGGTCACTACTGTTGTTCATCACCACCCTCCACCACCATGGCAAAACCCCTTTTTCTTATTCTTCCTCCTAATCATCTGCCTACTTTCATCAACGCCGGAATCTCACCGGCCACCTTCGTTTCTCGACAAATCCCCACGGCTTCTCAAAACCCAAAAAATTCTTGTTCAGCCGAAGTACACTTACGAGACACGATACTTTGATCAGACTCTTGATCATTTCAGTTTCAACGATCTTTCCAAGTTCCAACAACATTATCTCATCAACTCCGATCATTGGGTGGGCCCAGGCCCTAGTCGTTTGGGCCCAATCTTCCTTTATTGCAGCAACGAAGGCGACATCGATTGGTTCGCTGCCAACACCGACTTCGTTTGAGAACTCGCCCCTCGTTTTGGTGCCATGGACATCTTCCCCGAAGTAAAAGCCCTAATCACTCTACTCTACATTAATTTGTTCACTTGCAGACATTTAATAATACAATTTTATCAAAAGCTGTGTGATTTGATCTAGCATCGATATTGTGGTGAATCGATGCCATATGGAAGCCAGAAAGAGGCATACAAGAATGCTTCTACTTTAGCCTATCTAACAGCCGAACAAGCACTTGCTGATTACGCTCTTCTCATCACCGATTTGAAGAAAAATTTATCAGCCGAAGCATCACTTGTAATCTTGTTCGGCTGATCATACGGTGGAAGTAAGATCTTTTCCAACAATTTCAACAAAAATTAAACAAGCACTTGCTGATTACGCTCATCTCATCCCATTTACCTGAAGTACCTGGTTACCACAGTGTTTTAGTTGAACACATGTGTATTTTGTTGGTATTCTGTGTACAAATAGTAACATTAATGGTATTTTTTGTACTAAAAAAACAACAATTGTATTTTTTGAACATTTGGAAACCGGATAACCTACAATAGCTGGTAAAATGGTATTTTGTGTACAAAAAAAACAACAATGGTCTTTTTTGTACACTTTTGAAACTTCGTTACCTTTTTAAGTCATTATCCCTTGTTGAATCTTTGGAATCAGTTCGGGTTTAGGTATTGGGACTCGAGCTCGGTAATTAATCTAGTATACTCATCTATAATGATACTCTAACACTTATATTTTGTTTGAAGGGAACAAAATCCCATCACTTCATTAATAGTTATTAAATTTTTCATATGTTATTTCGTTAATGATTGCATTTTGTTGCCAAACTAACAAAATTTACAAAGAAATGAAACATAAAAACGAATTTGAGATGATTTCATAAACTCGATCAAATTTGTAACTACTATATTTTCTATTTTTGTAAACTATCATATTGTCTTGTGTAACAGCGTATGTATATAGTCATTTTGACACGACAACAACATACTTTGTAAATCCGTTTATTGGGTAAGGGAGGTACAATGCCGACAATTTGCCTTAAAGATTGACTATAGGGTTGGGAATTTTCGACACGACACGAAATAAATGAGTTTGAGTTGAGTTTTTCAACCCGCCAACCCGTTTATTAAACAGGTCATATATAAGTTTCTCAAAAAATAAACGGGTTGACCCGCTAAACCGTCTATATTCTTAATAAAAAAAAATATTTTATTTTTAAATGTATTTATGTATCAAGTATTGATATTTAATACGTATTATATAATATATCATTGATTCATAAACCATTTGACTATTTTGACATTTTGACTCGTGGTGGATGGTTTAAGGTTATAAGTCGTAACCTATAAGACTAAGTCTGTAACACGTTTCAATGAATGTTTTTACTTTTCATTTGAATGTTTAAGACTTAAATGTCTAAAATTCGGACCCACGAACCCAAATCTGACCTATGAACCCACCAACCTGTGAACCCGTATAAATAAATGGGTTGACGGGTCATATATGGATTTATGTTCCAAACCCGCCAACCCGTGATTAGTATATTTACATGGGTCGTGTTTGGGTTGAATATTTTGACCCGTCAACCCGCGATACGCAAACCCGAACACGACACGATTGTCAGGCCTAATTGACTATGTCACATAGATAACCTCTGACATGTTCGTCGCAATGACCTGTAAAGGATGCTAAAAAGGGAAAATATGTCAAAGTTAGGAGTAAGACAAAACATGAGAAAAACATGGAACGAGCATATGAATGCGAAAGCATGCTAAATAAGGCAAACAAGGAAACACAATATAAACTGTAAAACAAGAACATGGAAAAAAAATGACAGTCGAACTCTGATGGAGCCCAAATTTTACTAAAAAGTACTTTATGTCACTAAACCGATTGGAATACGAACCCACGTCTTAGACTAACAATACATATCACGTATATCCATGTCATATCTCCCTGGTTCCTCTCTAATTTATAAGGTCCACTAAATCATCTCTCCATATACACTATCATATGCCTTTTTCCAAGTTGATAAACACCATATGAATATCCATACTTCTTTCTCTATATTTCTCACAAATGTCTAAGGAGATGTAATCGTCTCTCAATATACACTATCATATACCTTTTTCCAAGTTGATAAACACCATATGAAGGTCCATACTTCTTTCTCTATATTTCTCCCAAATATGTCTAAGGAGATGGACTGCATCAGTTATTGATCGTTGACCTCACAGACATGAAACCAAACTGGTTTTATGAAACAGTCATGATGCTTTTTAACCTAGCCTATAGTACTCACTCCTGTATTTTTAGGCTATGACTAACTTAATACAATCTATAGTTCCCACAAATTTCCGCATCATCTTTATTTTCATAAATAAGAATCATTATACTCGATTTTTATACCTGTAGTCATTTTGACTTCTTATCAAAAACTCATAAGCTTCTTAGGTGAGTAACTTTATAGTTACATTAATACTTAATGTATACATGATTTATAATACATATTGCATAGTTATATATTTGCATGTACATAAAGTTGCAAACCACACATACAAGTGTATTAAAACATGCCACAAACAAATTATATTTTTTCCTAATGTTGTGTTTGTAAGGTCCCCTGGACGTATAGCCTAAGCGACAACCATATTAATGTATGACCCAATGTTGGTCTCCAACAAACGTTTTATCATAACATGGGCTCATCAAAGAAGCGATAATAGCTCCCTTTCAGTCATGCATTCCCATGCGATGTTCTTCTTCACAACCAGTCATGTTCTCTTACTATATTACCATACATACTTAAACAACACATTAATGACATTAATTCAGTTAACACGGTCACAACAATATTAGGGCGTACCAACATGTTTTAAGAAACATTATTTTTGGGAGAAAAAAAAATCAAACGTCAAGATTTCATTTCTAAGAAAATTAGATTATAACTATCAACCCAAGCATTTGGTTAAACATGGAAATATAACTACCATTCCATTTTTTAAGAAACCTTTATTGAATATAAAACCTTGGTGTTGGTAATAATTAAATTATTTTGCAACAATAACAGTCATTAGTTTGTGCCAACTTTCTTAAAATCAGGATATTGATAAAATAAATGATAGTCGGAAAAAATTGACGAGAAAACCGATGATTCTAATTGAAAAGGAACATTTGGTAGAAACTTATTCCATTCCCCTCATTTATCTTTATTGATCTTCTTGGAGGGCCAACCGTCAAGTTTGTGTCAAGATTCCTTTAGGCTAGATCTGTAAGATCATTGTATAGGGTTAGTATGTAGATATGGGATTGGGAAAATTGTTTTAGAAATATAATTTATATTATAATTTAGTGGTTTTGTAGGATTGAGAAACTTTATCTATCAACTTGATTTGAAAAGAGCTTTTACCTTTGTGTTCCTTAGAATTGTTCATTGGGTAATATTTATATGCTCATTAAGTGTCATTTGAACATGTATATTTCAATTTGGTAGGATCTTGTAAAGTGAAAACCATTATTCTTCAACTTGATTTGAGCAATTTTACCTTAGTCCAAAACTAGATCCCATTAGAACTGATCATTACATGCATATTATATGATGAAGAAATTCATTTGAACATGTAGTCTTGCAATCTTAAAGAGGAGGTAGAAGACATTGTAATGCTCTAGACATGTTCCATATAAAAAATAAAAAACTTCCATCACAAATCGTCAAAAAACTACAAGAACAATGAAAATAAAAGCAGCAACATCCTCCATACCAATGTTGATTAAACCTGCGATTACAAGGAATTACAATCAGGTAAAACATCAAGCAAGCATTGTTTTGGTTGACGTTTTTGTGTATGCATAGAGATCATACACATACATGTTTAAGGAATCAGATGTTTAACAGCGATGAATGATTAATAAACCTAGTAAATGATTGTGGGTCAACTTATTTCTATTCGTCAGCTTACTAGAGAGGAGAATCACCTAGCTAGAATGTAGCAAAATGATGAATTGAAGACTAAATTTACTGGTTTTCATCCCCTCAATTCATAAACAATCAATTGAATAACAGATTTCTAACAAGTAAAAGCACAGTGAAGAAGAAAATGTATAAAAGATACCTTAGATATTGCTTGGGTACATGAACACTCTAACCCTAGATCCCTGCAAAACGAAAGAGACAAGCATTTATCAAATTCTGACACCAGAAATCATTCAAAACGCTGTAATTATGTTTCGTTTCTGATTTATAAGCGTGAATTACCATGGATTTGGGAGGAAGATTAGACGTGAACTTAGCACGCACAATTCCAGTGTTACCATGAGGCCTAGTAACCTTTCCCCAAATGCACCTGTAATGTGATCCGTTCTTCTTCACCTTTGCCTTGTAGACGTACGCCATCCGTTTCCCTTGATACCATCCTACCTCCTCTTTCGTGTTAACTCCTTCAATTTGAACCAAAGATGTATTTGGGTACTGGTTCGACTTCGACCTGAACCAAAAGATGAGAAAAGGTCAACAAACTTTCGATTTCAATAGCAATTTCATTGAACAATCCTATCAATGTTATTTAGAAAATCAACTTTACTTTACCTCTTGTAGCCCAGAATCGTTCCTCTGGTGTAGAGTCTGAAATTGAAAATGATAAGTAAGCGAATACGTTCCAAACAGATTTTGAATATGACTAGGAGACTAGGTTCACAGAAGAGAATAGCATTATACCTGACTCTTTCCCCTTGACGACCCTTCACCATTTTCCTTGAGCAGAAACTTACCGACCGCCTGCACTGATAAGAAAAAATAAAACCCTAGATCTCATACGAGACGATGATTTATACTTTTATAGATGTGGATTATTCGGGAGCAAAGTTAGGGCTTTGGAAGTAATTTTGTGGGCTTGAAGATGGTTGGGTTTCAAGATTGCTTAGCCCAGATTATTATTCTTTGACGTTTGACCTGTCCATAAATATCATGCTTACTTCCTTCTTTTGACAAACTGTATGTTAAATTTACTTGTCGTTACTCGTTAGACATTTCTTGTTTCGAAATAATTTTTTCAAGAATCAGCAATCAATATCATCAAATTAAGTGTATGAAAAAAAGTTGAATCGGACCCAACAAACTGAACTGAACCGGAAAATATAAGGAACCGAAAGTTAGAATTGATCAAAATAAAGGGTTGTTTTTGTTATTAATTTGTATAATCACTTAAACACCTAATATGTACATCTAATGATGTTTCTAGGCATAACGACTAAGGTTATGTTTGACGTACTAGCTGAAAAGTTGGTTGTTAGCTGAAAAGCGAGCTGATAGCTAAAAAGATAGTGTTATTTAAACTAGCTGAAATATATAAAATTACATAAAACGACATGTAAGAATATGTGTTTCTATAATTAATTAAAGAGTGTATTTGAAATTTTTTTAAAAAGCTAGTCTAAGTAGTTTTTCAAAAAACTAGTTTATAAGCTAGCTAATAAGCTACTTTTTTACTTACCAAACACGACAACATAAAAAACTCAAAAAATAAGCTAGTTTATCAGCTAAGTGTGGCGCGCCAAACATAACCTAAATAAGTTAAGCCAAAAAATAAGGTTTAATTTTTTAAGACATTAATCATTTACCTATTTATCTTTTTTTTTCTTTCACTCTTTTTTCACTTTAAAATCGATGAATCCTTAGAGCATTGGGTGTGGACAACAATGTACAATACCAAGTTGTGTCACCTCACATGTCACATAAGCAAGTGGTGTTATAACACCAAGTGGGAAAATAGAAACAAGATTTAACACAAACTTTTTGAAAATAAATGTTTTTTTTTTTTTTTCGAAATTGGTTTTTTTTTTATGTTTTTGTTTTTTTTTACTTTTTTGTTTTTTTTCCCGTTTTTTTTACTTTTTGCATTTTTTTAATGACTAACATGAATATATATTTTATAAAACATAAAATTTTAAAAACAAGAAAAATACATAATATTTAAAATCTAAAATTACGATTACAATTAAAAAAACATAATTTTAAACCTAAAATCATAACTAAAATCTCATTCAAATTACTACTAAAACTACATAACAATCCTAATTAACCCAAATATTTCTTCCTAATTTGTTCTTTCATCGCTTGTAGTACTGCTAGATTAGCAGGCGCCAAACCCTGTCGCTCGTCTGAAGAATTGACAACTAATCTTTCATTAGTTCCCTCTCTTTTTGTTTCTGCTTCTCCCGTGTCTGTCTTTTCAGCAACTCCAAATGACGATGTTTCAACTCATTTTTTTCTTTTATTAATAAATTGTGCTCGTCGAATTTCGCTCTTATTTCCACCACCTCCTTTGCTCTCGTCTCCACCTCCCCCGCATATCTTGCAGCGCGCCTTGCTTTGTCGCGTTCGGTCAGTCGTCGTGGTGGAGATATCTCTTGGATATCATCCGGGATCTCATCGTCGTCAGTGTTTAAGTTGATGTTAGTCCATGCGTCCGACACGTCGACCGAGCTAAAATTGCGAGACCTTTTGGATTGAACGTCAACGATGTAGGCTTTTTATTCCACTTTCGATCCGCTCGCAATAATTCCCATCATTTTTCAAAGTCAAAAACATGATCCATTTCAACATGATATTGTTCCTTAACATATTTGAACAAATTGAAGTCGTTGGTTCCGCTTTGTTGTTGCGTCTCAAGTCAGTTGTAAATACCGTTGACTTTGTTGCAATGCTTAGTTATTTGACCCCATTTGCTGCTCAGCATGCATTGTTGCAATACGGATTTTTCTTCAAAAAAGTGTGAAACTTGTCGAGCACCGCCCCCCAATAAGCTCATTTTTCATTCCATTTCCGCAAAGTTCGTCTTTTGAAGTGGCACACCAAGCCACCATTAAAGCATATACCTCATCCGATATCCACCGTTGTGGAACGTTTGCATTTTCTGTTTCAGCCGCTGTCGATTTTCCTTTCCCTTTCCCTCTCTTACTACCTTCCGCTTCCACTTGAATCGATGGTTGTGTTGTAGGCGATGGTTGGTTGGTTGTTTGTTGCATCGAACCATAAGTAGAGAAAATATTTTGATGTAAATTTGGGTTTTGACCAAATTGATTTTGTTGAAGATAAGATGAGTTGGAAAAATCTAGTGGTGGTAAAGCGGGATTGAAAGTGGCGCCTTGGTATGGGATTTGTGGTGAGCCTTAAGACGATAAAAGGTTAAAATAATTTTCATAACCGGCCAATCCAAGAGGCGAGGTTGTGTTTGGGTTTGATGATGAGGGTGGGGGGGTTGAGTTTTGCTCCATTTTTTGATTAACAATATATATATATATATATATATATATATATATATATATATATATATATATATATATATATATATATAATAATTTGAATATTGACCGTTTGCAAATGGTCATTAAAGTTAACGGTAAAAATGTAGTCGTTTCAATTCGTCGTAACGCCCACGAGACTTGCTCGACGGGATGCAACGAGTTGGGGGGGGGGGGGGGTGTTCCCCACGTTATGACGGCGTTTCAGAGTTCCAGGTCAGCCTCATCGATGCTTGTTATGTCCCATACCGACTCCCCGTACCTAAATTGATAAATATTAGAAAAGGCATCATAAATGGTCTGTATTTTTTTATATTTAAAGTTTAGTCCATAAGTTCAAAAAAATTCACAGATGGTTCCTATGCTTTCAAAACTTTTGATGTTTGGTCATTTTTGCTAACTTCATTAGCTTTTGACCGTTAACTATTATTTGATTATAATATTCGGATGATATTTCCGTCATTTCACAATCATAGGAACCATTTATGATGTTTTGTCTTATATATATGATTTATATTTTGAAGGGTCTCTCTCCTGATCACACAACCATTTGTCTTGTTCTTGAAATAGATAATAAAAGGGGTGTTTGGGATTAGTGTTTGAGCTTAAAAGTTCTTTTTGTAAAAGTTATTTTTGAGTTTAGCTTTTAATGATGAAAAAGCCAAAAGTTGTTTTATAAAAATGTTTGGGTCGTACTTCTTGACTTTTGAGTGTAATTTAGCTTTAAAAGTCTAAATGTCACAAAAAGTCACACTTTACTGACTTTTGGAAACCCACCTTTTTGTTCTTTACAAAAGGACCTTTGTATCTCTCAAACATCTTTTTGACTTTTTAGAAAAGTTAAAAGACAAAAGTAATTTAAAAAAAATAATCCCAAACGCCCTCCAAGTTCTTTAACACATACACACACATAAAATTTGGAAAATGATTCACAATGGTTCATACTTTGGTGTGGGATCTATTTTTTGGAAATCAATTCAAAGGTTCAAATCAAGCTACCCCAAAGTACCATTTGTTTGTATTTCTCAGTCGATCGAACATAATTTCTAGTCCCCGACCCAGTTCTGTTCATCAACGAGTCCAGCCATGACATTGTTCTCCACCATCATCTCCATAATTCTCATCCTCAAACACATACAACAACAAAGAAACATCATAGCAGTGAGTTCTTCTCATAGGACTTAAAATCAATGAACTTTGATTTCGAAACAAAATTAAGATTGATTTCCAAAGATGCATATGCATATGTTCTTCAACCCAACAAATCTGAAAAAAAAAAACAATAGTGGAAGGTGGGAATCATCAATTTCATTCCATTGTTAGGAAGACCTTAACCTCAATTTCCACCATTATCGAACCTCCAGAAGCACATTAAAGCCATATTCTCATTTTGTGACTTATTGACAATTATTTCTGAAATTGATGCTTCCTCGACCTAACCCCCTCCATTTGGGATTGAGTTCTACTTCAGACATCATTTGAGACCTTCAAACACATTGACACTTCAGATTTAAATTCAGGTCCAGATAACAATAGATTTTCTTGCATCACTTTAGTTCTTTAAGTGTATTGAAGCTTCAATCTTCAAATCTAGATCTATGTATAGATCAAGCTTTTGATACCATGAAATGTTTAGTGGAGAGAAAGAGAGAGAGAAAGAGAGAGAGAGAGAGAGAGAGAGAGAGAGAGAAAGAGAGAGATTTTTTGTATTAAATAGTTATATTTTATTTTTCCTTTTTTTTTAATAAGACAAAACTTCATAAATGATCTATGTGGTAGTGAAATGACGAAAATATCCTTTAGTTAACGAACAAAAACTTAACAAAATGAGCAATAAGGACCAAACATTAAAAGTTTTAAAACACAGGGACCTTCTGTGAAATTTTTTGAACTTAGAGACTAAACTTCAGATCTGGAAAAAATACATGGACCATTTATGATGTTTTTTTTTCTAAATATTTTGAAATTTGTTTTTCGTAGTATAAGTATAAATAGTCATTTAGGCTCATTGAAATGATTTACTACACGTATTTTATATACCCTAAATTGAGTATGTTATTGAGTTTATCAAATTGAGCAAGTTATTAAGTTTCAAAACTATAACATGTATTATTAAAGCTTGATTTTCAATGGTTTATCAAATAAAAACCTACTAAAAATATATATTTGTTGGTACAATCAACCTATATAAAAGCTTTTTGATTTGCATTATAATAATTATATTTTCTTTTTTTTTTTTAAATTTCTACCATTATATTTCTTCTATAATAAATACAATTTTTATGCTCTTATGTAACACCTCGTTTCGAAGACAAACCCTAATCCGAGAATGTATTTTAAGTATTATTGGATCAGGAGGATGTTAAAGTCACAGTGGCGTGATAACTAGTGGCAACTAGTTACAGGTAAGGATTTCGTTTGGAAGTCGTGTAAGGCAACTATGTGGGAGCCCTTTTAGCTCAGCGACCGGGCTCGAACCCGATATTTCAGATGACTGACGAATGGATTGAGACCAGGAAGGTCTCGATAGATTTTAGGAAGCAGCTATGTAGCAGCTCACTACTTCAAGCAATTCAGTGTTCTAGTAGTTTCAGCATTTGGGCAGTGTTAGCATTTGTATTTCATGTTTGTGAGTACGGACATAATAGCTAGATGATTTGGGGGTGACAAGTCACTCACAGTGGGAGTATTTGAGCCTTGGCCAAGTATAAGTAGTCTGCAAG